CTTTCCCAGGCTCTCCTTTTAATTTATTCATGGCATTTATTAGCACTGAAATAACATGGTTTGTATATGGGTTGATGTCTGGCTGCCTCTCTGGAAGGTCAACTCTGTAAGAATGGGACTGTCTTGTTTTCTTGCAATCCTGTACCTCACCTAGTGTCAATGAATATTTATTTAAAGACTGATAGCCCCTTATAGCCATAGGGAGAGTACCCCAACTCCTGGCCTGCTATTCAAGGCCACCTGTGACTGGCCCGACTTATACCTTTCTGGCTTCCACCCTACCACCTGTTCTCATGAACCCAGAGGTCTGCCCACAGCACAGCCCTTAGCACACCAGGCCTTTTACTCCTCCATGCTTTTGTCTATGCCATTCCCTCTGCCCCAAATTCCCTTTCTTCATTTTCTCACCTGGTAAACTTCTATGCAGCCTTCAAAGCCCAACCCAAATACCCCTGCCGTGTAGAGTGTAAAACATAAACGTTAGGGATTTAGACTAGGGTTTAAATCCTGGCCCCCAACACTTCCTAGCTGGGTGACCTTGAGCAAGTGACTTCCCTTATCCTGAGCTTAGTTTCTCTGCAAAATGGGATTACTAATGCCTACTCTAGTGAGCCATCCATCTTGCCAGCTAGACTTTTCTCATGGCACTCTCCGGAGGCCTGGAAGGTGCCTCTGTGCCCTGGGCACTCTGGCAGTATCTAAGAATGGACAGCAGGGTGGTGAGCATCTATTTATTTGGTTGCCACCAGGCACTCCTCCTGCTTTGGCTAGCCCTCTTGATTTCCCTCCAGGAATGAACCTGCTTATGTCCCATGCACATGGTTCTGATAGGCGTCCTTCGCCCATAGCTGCTGGGATAGGCATGTGACCAGGCCTAGCCAATCAGAGCATTCCATCCTCTTCTGACACAGCAGTTGGCTCAGAGGCGGATACCATGTGACCCAACTCAGGCCAATGAGACACATCCTTGAGACTGCCTGGAATTATCAGTAAAAGAGCCCTCCCTTTGGACTGAGAGAGAAAAGCCAAACCTAGAGCTGGAAACGTGGTTTCAGCCCCTGGATCCACGCATTCCTGAAGGCAGCCATATCTGGCTTAAGTGGGCCTGAGTTGAGACGTCCTCACTGAGACACTGTCCTCTGGGTGGCTCCAGTCTCTGGTTTCTGACTTGCCTGTGAGGGACTAGGGGCCAGGACGGGAGAGGAGTCAGAGCATATAGAGTTGGGCATCGGGGCCCCACTGTGCAAGGGAGATGAGGGAGAGTCTATGGGGTGGGGTCCTGCAGGGGGCTCAGGGGGAAGCAGGAGACACAGGGCTGCAGGGGGAAGCCGCCTGCTCCAGCCTCCTCTGGCTACCCCTGCAAAGATCCCTGGCTTCTGCGCTGACGGGCCGCTGCTGGGTCCTAGGGGGACCCTGCTCAGCTCCAAGGCCAGGCCTATGTCAGTCCTCACCGACCCACCTCAGTCCTGGCACCCTGGCTCCCCAGTAGTCGTTGGGCATTTATTTCTGTATTTATTCTGCATAGAACCAAAATACTGGTTTTTCATTAAAAGCAATGGCTGCCTCTAGGGCCACTAGGCTGCATGACTGCAGGGGCACCCTGACTATCAGGCACCCTGCATTCAGTCTGTACAGTTGTCTCTGTGGCCTGAGTCCCCAGGTGCTGTGGTGCTAGAGAAGGAAGGGGATGGAGAGGGAGTCAGGGTCCCCTCCTGAGCTTCCTGGGTCCTTCCCCACCTGGAGACCTTCCAGGAAGGATGGTGGGGAGATTACTGTTAGCACACATCACCCTTGGCCCTCGCACAGGAAGCACTGAACTCCAAGAGAAGGGCCGTGGCCCGGAGGAAAGGAGGGCCACAGTCCAGCCTGCAAGAAAGGGATGGGCTCCCCTGGGAATAAGCCCCCCTCCACCCACCCAACCTCTTCTACATTCTCCCTTCCCTGCCGCCAACCCCAGGTCCCCTAGAAGTGGACAGAGATTCCAACCTCAGGAAAGATGCTCAACCCTTGTAAACCTAGGAAAGGGCTCTGGCCCCTCCCAATGCCGCCCCTGTGAACCAGCAGGTAGTGGATTTAATGTGGTGGCATGGAGACTCTCCCTGGGTGTGCCTCTGGGGATAGAGGATGCAGACTGGGGATTTGGATTTTTAATATTAAAAATGTAAGGTCTGCAAGGGCAGGGATCTTAGTAAGTTTTGCTGCCAGCCCTAGAAAGGCACCTCACATGAGCACGTGCCCAGCAAATATGTGGTCAACAGGGTTACATTGCCATGCCCAGGCTGGGACACAGAGGAAGCAAAGGGGACATGAGGTGACAGTGGAGGTGCCTCTGGGACCCTGGGGTGAGGGTGGGTGTTGAGGGCAGCGGCATCCTGGACAGCTGTCCCACCTTGCCCCCAGCATCTTCCTCATCCCCAGGACCCTAGGCACTAGGTCAGCATTGGTGGAGTCCTGGGGGCCGAGGGGTGCTGGGGTGGGCTGCTCCAGACTTCCCCACTAGTAAATGGGCAGCAGGGGCCCCAGGCCTATAGTGGCAGCCTTTCAGGGGTCCCCTGCCCAACGTGTGGCAACACCTTCTGCTTTGGAGAAGGAGGGGATGGTGCCAGACCTACCTGCCTGGAGTAAGGTGCTGACATTCCTCTTGTGCCCCAGAGCCCTAGCCCCAGGCCAGAGGCCCACCCCCACCACACCCCCTTCCAACTTGGAACACAGCTTCAGGGACCTGCTCAGAGATACTGAAGGCCCTATTGAGGCCAGTTTCTGAGTCCCTGGACAGCAGCGTCCACCTCCAGCTGGACAGTTGGCAGAAGGCCTTTCCACCCAGCTGCTTCCCTTGGGGTCTGCCAGGTGCCTGTGGGCCCAACATTACACACCCTCACTGGCTTCTGGGGTCAGGGCCTTTAGCTCATGGCTCGGGGGGCGGGGAGGAACTAGCAGAGGACGTTGGGTAGGTTGGCTTGATTAACCTTCTCTTGTCATGGCCGAGGTAGTCACATGGTAGGGAAGCCCAGTGGGGCACGCAGCCCAGGCAAAGACTAGGAAGGGGAACCACAAGTCCCTCTCTCTAGCTCCTGCTCTCTTGGGTTTTGCAGGAGAGAGTCAAAAGGAACAAAGCACAGAGAGTGACCAGTACCTTGGCTCATTTCTCTTCTCTAAGACCTGGGGAGAGGAGGAGAGGAGGAAGCAGGAGAGATGTGTCCAGGCAGGGGAGACACATGCAGCCCCGGAGATACAGACACACAGATGCCTACCCAAATGTACCTACTCCTCTGTAGATAACCCCCAGACACACACCCCCACACACACCAGGGCCCAGATGCTCTGGCCTTTTCTCTGTCTCACACCCCACCCCAGGGGCTGAGCCCTGGGGCCTGGGAGTCCAGCTCCTGAGTAGACATTAAATCCACTACCTGCTGGTTCACAGGGGCGGCATTGGGAGGGGCCAGAGCCCTAGACATTTGTCTGTGAATGACTGGGTGGACAGAGACCGTCATGGTCATAGACCATAGGACCACAGCCCACACTGTGCTAGGGGACACTCCACTCAGCTAGGACACAGGAGCACCTGCCATGAACCAGGAGCACCACTCCCAGATGGCCTGCCTGCTCACGGAAAAGGGGTGGTGGTAGAAAGACTGACCACAACTCCCTTCCATGGGCTTGGAGAGGTGTCTGGATGGCTGAGTCCAGGCATGGGGGAAACAGTGTGAGTGGCAGGGTGACTGGGTAGAGCTCTGGTGAGCACTAGAGAGGCCTCTCCAAGCCCTGCTCACCTGGACCCCAGCTAAACCCTGGCCTCCAGCCTAGAAGCAGTATGGAGGTTCGAGGGAAAGCCAGAGGGGGAAGCCCCTCACCCCAGGATGAAGGGAGCGCAGTGAAACCCCTAATCATGACAGCTGGCCCTAATCATGACCAACCACTTTCTGTCTGCTGCCTCATTCTCATCGCCCCAGAAGCGCTGTAAGGAAGAACTTGAGCTCCCCATGTGATAGACGGGAGTACTGAGGACCCGAGAGGAGAGGGACTAGGTCATCCAGCAGGTAAGGCTGTGGAATGACCCTTATCCACTAATCTAGACCCAGCCAGGTGGGTGAGCGCCCCCTCACAAAACAGATTCCTCAGCCTCATCTCTTGGGCCACCTTGACGCTGTTGCCCACAGTCCCTGCCCACCCTGGGGCGTGATGATTTACTCCCTGGGACCCTGCCTGGGAGTCACCAAAGATGAGACTCTGAGGATTCTCACAGAGCCCACACAGGGAGGGGGAGAGAGTGGAAACCTACCCCTTACCCACATATCCCTGCCCCCTACCCCAACACACTCACACCCAGGAAAGGCAAACAGAGCCAGAGATGGGAACACACTGCTGACTGGGCACGTCAACCTCCAGGTGGACTGTGTAGCCTGCAGGTTAGCCATCCACACCTGTCCCTAAATCTCTCTGGCCTTAGTTTCCCACTTTCTGAAATGGGGAGGAGATGAAGCGTCTGGCCCAGAGCAGCTACTACACACTGCGGAGTCATGGCTAGCTGCCTCGGTTTCCCCAACCAGACCATGCAGTGGGTGCAAAGGAGCCCCAAGTTCTTCCCCGTGGGAACTTCAGGTGGAGCAGGGCGGCAGCGCCTGTGCCACAGAGGGCCCGCCTTCAGGACCAGGCGGCCTGAAGCTTCCCCAACCCACCCAAGCTTATGCCAAGAGGCTTCGGGGCGCCAAGGGGCTTCGGGGGCAAGGTAAATGAGGCTGCCTTCCTGGGTGGACCCAATGCCCTCTAACACCCACAACTGACCCGGGTCCCTGGGCACAGGCTGTGAGGCCCCAAACGATCACGTCTCCTGGGCGTTGAGAGACCAACTCCCGAGGGGCGCAACACCCTTGTGGGGAGCTGGGGCATGGGCGGGGGCGCCTAGAGCCTTTCTGGCCCCCCACCCCCACCCCTACCGCCCACCCCCAGCCCCGGAGGAGACAGCAGGTGCCCCGTGGAGGGGCCCGACGGGCACTCACCCGGGCGCAGGGCGCGGGGCGCAGCGCCCAGGAGTAGGAGCGCGGCCCCCAGACACGCGGCGGCCAGAGCACGCCGCCGCCAGCAGCGCCTCCCCATGCTGCGCGGGGCCAGCGGGCCTGCAGTCCGCCTTGTCCGGCGGGGGGCAGCAGTGCCCGGCCCGGGACCCGCCCCGGGGCCCGCCCCGCCCGCTCCGGCCCGCCCGGCGGCGCCTACCAAGGCACGGCGCGGGGGTGCGAGGGCCGCGCTGGCGGGAGGCAGGGTGGCGCGGCGGCCGACCGCTGGGGACTGCGGAGGTGGGCGACGGCGGGTGGCGAGCCTCGCTCGTCCAGCCTCCACGCCCTACACCCGAACAAGTGGGGCAGCAGTCCAGGGCGCGAAGGGTGGAGACTGGGTGGAAAGAGCCCTGTCGCCCGGTGAGGCTCCGCCCCCTTCAGTTTGCCCTGGGGATACCATCCTCCACCCGAGGCCAAGAAGCCTTGTCATCAAAGTGGCAGATCGGTGGGTCGGAAGAGCACTGTGTCTTCTTGTGTTTTTTTGCTGCCTTGCATGCCAGGGGCCAAGGGCGGGTATGGGGAGCAGCCCTCTGTACATAATCCCCTCCCCCATCTTCCATCCCCATCATCAGGCCTAAGAGTACCTCTTATCTCCCCCAAGGCCAGCCTGTAGGCTTGTTTTCCACAGGTGTCTCCAGGTCCTGCCTGAATTCTGCTCATGTAGGTCCTGGCCAGCTCTGGGAGGAGAGGTGGGAGTTCTCAGTTCATGCCCTGCTAGGCGTTAGGGCTGTTGTGCCTCACCTGGTCCTGGCAAGGGATCCACACTCCAGGTGAGCGCTCAGCTTGCACAGGACTCCTGTGTGTGAGGGGATGAGAGTGAAGTCCCGCCTTTGAAAGAGAAACATCCAGCTAGCCTTGTGGGGTGGGGAGACCAGGAACCAGGCCTGACCCTAGTGCCTTTCTGCCCAGAAGTCAGGCTAACAGGGAACCAAGGGTGCAGCTGATGCTGTGCAGGTGTGTGCATGTGCACTTGAGTCAGCACTTGGCGGTGTGAGTGTGTGGGAAGGGGTCCTGCAGTAAAATACAGTTTTATAGCTGCTCTTGAAAAATCCGATGCCAAACCCTGCAGGTGCCATTTAATCACCATGTGAGATCGGGAAATTTGCCTAACCTCTCTGTGCCCCAATTCCCTGTACAATGGATCAGTGAGTGCCATCTAAATCCTAGATGTTAGTGATAAATTAATTTATTTTTACAGTTACTGCCTGTTTCTGGCAAAAGACTGGTTTCTCTTACAGCAGTGATACGAAAGTTCCTTCCTATTACATTTTTTGAAGTTTTAAAGGTCTATTTGAGGAAACATGTTAAGTAAATAATAGTTCTGTTGGCTTAAAGATATGGCTCCAAATGGTGATGATACGTCTTAAATAGCAGAGAAGTGGGAAATGCAGCTCACAGATAAAACCAGAAGCTCATTATTATGGCTTTCCAAATGACCGGACAGAGAGCCTTGGGACGCGTCCCACTCAGTCCCTGTCGGGCCCTCAGGCAGGGCTGCCGCTGCTTTGGGCCCAGGGCCCAAGGATTTCCAGCCATGCACATGCCCAGTGGGCCCCAAATCTAATCTACACTTGCATTCCAGATCCTACCACCCTCCCCCCACAGTCTCTGTAAGGGGTCCCAGCCTCTGGGGCCTTTGGGCAGGAGTCCTGGTCTCCTGGGCTGCCACCTGGTGGCCAAAGCTGAGAACAATGTCTCAGCCTATCCCTGTGGAGAAAATTCCTGGAGACCTGATCCCTGGAGGCCCATGGAGGGGGGGAGGGGGTGGCTTAGTGTGGGGTCTTGGAATGGGGGGTTGGATATGCCTTGCCAGAGGCCCAGAGCCTCAGTATCTTCCCTGTGAAGACACCTTCTGCAGCCTCTGTCCTCTCAAAGGGGCTCACGTTCATTTCTTCAGCAGATACTGAATTACCCACTCTGCGTGGGGGCTCCAGGGGAGAGAACAAGATAGGCTCTTTGGCCTCATGGAATTTACATTATAGAAGGGGGAGGGCATAGAAAACAGGAAAAAATATATAAGACCGTGCAAGGTGGTAAATGGTGCAATAAAGAGAATAAAGCAGGATAAGGGATGGGAAGTATGTATACCGCACATAAGGAGCAAGGATGGTAGGGGCAGGCCTCAGGGAGGATGTGACACTTGAGCAGATATGAGTCAGGTGAGGAGGAGCCACATGGGTATCTGGAGGAGGACATTTCCAGGCAGAGGACCAGCCCTTGATGAGGCCTTGATACGATGTGCCAGTAGCGATTACCTAACAAGTTGCCCTAAAATTTAGCAGCTTAAAACAACCATTTAAATTTTGCTCACAAGAAAGACAATTATATGATTTCACTCCTATGTGGAATTTAAGAAACAAAACAGAGGAACATAGGAGAAGGGATGAAAAAATAAAATAAGACAAAATCAGAGAGGGAAACAAACCATAAGAGACTCTTAACTCTAGGAAACAAACTGAGGGCTGCTGGAGGGGAGGTCGGTGGGGGATGGGGAAACTGGGTGATGGGCATTAAGGAGGGCACTTGATATCATGGGCACTGGGTGTTCTATGCAACTGAGGAGTCACTAAACTCTACCTCTGAAACTAATAATACACTATATGTTAATTGATTTCAAATAAAATAAAAAATTTTTTAAAATAAATTTTACTCACCATTTTGTGGGTCAAGATTTGGGGAAGGGGCTGAGTTCGATGCTTCTCCCTGGGGGTCTCATTCTACTGCATCAGATGGCAGTTGGGACTGGCAGGGTTGGCCATCCCTGATGCAGAGCTCAGCTGGGCAGCTGACCTCAGCATCTCCACAGGGCACACCCCAACCTGGGGTCCCAGGGTACTTGGGCTGCTCCACAGAGTCTCAGGCTTCCTTCTGCTGGTTACCTGATAACCACGAAGTTTGGCCCAGACTCAGGCGACAGGACCATGCCCTGGCATCACTTGGAGAAGCACCCAAGCAAGGATTTGCTGGCATGTTTTAAAACCACCACCGGTGTGAACAAGGGCCGACGAGAGTGGATGGAGAATCAGAGAGGCAGACAGAGAGTCCATATCCCCAGAGTGTCTCAGGCCACAAATGGGTTATTCTAAGCAGTCTGCAGCTGTGTTGCTAATCAACTGGAGGTGGCTGGGAGGAGGTGGGGCACCAGGAGAGAGGCTGGTGCTATCTCTGGGAGAGAAGATGTGCATGGGCCAGGGTGGGGTGGTCTCAGGGTCCAGGGTATATTTTCAAGTTAGAGGGGTTGGGTCAGGTGGTTCAGGAGAAGGTGCTCAGGGTGGCAGAATGGACGGAGGAGAAGGAGGGGAAGCTGGGACCAGGCCGATGATTCAAGAGACAGAAGCCCTGCCTGGCTCAGGAAGGCCAGCTGGATACTGCAGAGATTGGGGTCCAGTGTGGCCTGGACTGGGGGTGACAGGCAGGCAGGGCTGGGCTACGTGGTGCTGGTCGCCAAGGGTTGCTAGGACGAGAGGCTGGCTAGGACAGAAGCAGCACTGGGGGCAACCAGTGGGGAAACTAAGGCAGGCACTTGGTGACTGGAGAGAGACCACATCAAGCACCAGGGAGGCACATACTGAGCGAAACTGGGTTTGGCTTGTAGTGCCTGCCTGCCTTTCTTACTCCTTATTAGTTTAAATTTTTTATTTATTTGGTTTGTCCATGGAGCAAAATTCAAAACCACCAGAGGTTTTTTCAATTGAGGTGAAATTTATATACCATAGAATTAATCATTTAAAGTGTACAGTTCCATGGCATTTAGTACACTGACAATGTTGAAAGTGCCAGAGTTTTACAATGAAAAGTCTCCTTCCCTCCCTACTTCTTTGTAGTGTACACACACACACACACACACTTTCTCTTTATTTTCTGTACTACGTACATTGCTCTGTTCCTTGCTTTTTGATACAGGCCAACAATTGGAAAACTAACAATATCTTAGCAGATGTTTATTCTGTAACAGGCAATAAGACCTTTACATGTATTCTCATTTAATCCTCGGACACATCCCATGAGGTAGGTAGTATTATTACTTTCATTTAACAAATGAGGAAACTAAAGCACAGAAAGGTTGAGTAACTTGTCCAAGGACACACAGCTAGTGAGTGGTAGAGTCAGTCTGGCATATGTAACATCCCTGACCTCCTCATCCTTTTACGTAGCTTGTACGATGTTTTAAAAATGAAGCTATTTATTTTGCGATTCTTGTAGATTCATGTTGTAAGAAACAATCCCATGTGCCCAGTTCTCCAATTGGTAACATCTTGCAAAACTGCAGCACAGGGTCACAACCAGTTCGTTGACGTTGATAAAATCCACCATCTTGTTCAGCACAATGTTTAAAACCATCTTTTAAATGATTGCAAACATTTCAAAATGAGGAGACCTCACAAAAAGATTTCTGGCTTACCTTGAGCCATCAGAAGATGAGGTCTGCCAGGGAGACTGCAAGAGTGGCTGGGAGGGTGTATAGAGCGAGAGCTCTGGGTTCTGAGGGTTCAGATCCTAGCACCACCAATGAGCAGCTGGGTGGCCTGAGACAGTTCCCACCACCTCTCTCCACCTCAGCTTCCACATCCATAGAATGGGACAGTGAACTCCACAGGGCCGATGAGGGGACAAAGTGAACTGGATCACGTGATGTGCTCAGAAGATGTTTGTTGTTCTTTTCCCCTTGCCTTGTGCAGGTACTGCACTGGGTGCTTACGCAACCCATTTGTGCCTCCTGCAGCCTGAGTGGTAAATTACCACCCACTTTTGTAGATTGGGACACGGCCCAAGGCCACAGGGCCAGTCAGCAGCTGACCTGGATTACCACCCAGATGTGTTGTTTTCCCAGGACCACCAGGATTCTATTGCTGTCGCTTCCTGGCCTTGTGAGACCTGGGCCTCAGTTTCCCCATCCGTAGCACAGGACTGATTAGGAGCACTTTCTTACAAAGTTGTTAATGAAATCGAGCATGAGAGCCATCTCCAGGTGGGCCCTTCACAGAGAGCTTTGGGAAGGGGATGAGGCAGTGTGAACCTCATTGGGAGTCAAGGAAGGTACAC